CAAAGTATAAAACTGTTAAATGTTATGCAGTACACCAAGACATCTTGGTACAAGATAACAACTCATTGATAAAAAAGCAAACGGAACATCATAAAGTGTGAAAAATTAATTTCTTTTTCCTATTTCACCCTACTACCGCCCTTCAATTTCAATTTGAGTGAGCCAAATCAACCACCAATCCGGCATGTTCAGGGGAGATAACCCACACACTCACAACGATGTGTGAGATTTATAGTAGAGTTATTTCCCCTAGTCCACATCGGATTTTCCCCACCACATTTATTAATCTTCAGTTCGACACGCTCAAGCAAGTCCAACGCAAGAGCACAAAACCACACATATTATCACCCAGTGACTAGCCAACGGGAGAATGAAAAGCATGCTAAAAGCCCAGTCAAGGCCCGAAAGCCATAATTTACTGAACACTTTCCACCATTCCCAGTCTTGTCCTCCCCTGAGAAAACCCATCTATAAAATTTATAAGAAGGCTTAACAATAACACCTGACTGCCTCCCTTGCCCAAGCAGTTACATTATGTTCTTCTTACCATTCCCATACAATCCTCGTGGGCAGGGGATAGCACATGTAAACCCAATACAATTAATACAGTCAACTGGACAATCATTTCTCTGATCATGTCAATGAGAAAGATACCATTACAACAGAATTGAATGAGTAATCAATAGTCATCGTAACCCTAGGTTCCAGACCATACCTGGTGGCAGCTTTATCATGTTCCTTTGCTCTTTAATGCCCACACAGTTTGAAAGCCTTGTAGTGCACATTGAGAACAGTTCAACCCACTCACACCAAGACAAACAAACGGGAGAACAAAAATCTAGAAGCTTTTGGTTCATACAACAGAACAAGACCAGAAGGAAGACTGGAGCACTGAGCTCTTCCAGATATTGCAAATTTAAACGCAATAACCACCAACAAGAGAACAGTCAACAACTGAGCCTCATTTATCACCAAAAAGACCAACTTTTATAAAAGCATTCATTTCAACCCAAGCAAGATGAGAGTCATTATCACAGTCTTCCTCATTTCACTCCCCTGTGGCACACACAATTTAACCAAAAACACAAGCTGTAAGTGACATTAACTCTTTGTGGACCAAATCAGTCAACGAATGGATAAAAAAAAAAAAAAAAAGGCTGAGGCTAAATACAAGTATTCAATTTCAACAGTCCATACGGTGTGTACTATTGGAAGAAAGAAAGAACCATTCAATCATTTTAAATTACTTAACTTTATTTAATAAGGAGAAAAAATACCGGTACTGAACCCCCCCAAAAAAACAAAACAAAAACAAAACAACAACAACCAAACAAACAAAGTTCTACAAACAGTTCATTCAATATCAGTTTGGTGCAAACAGAAGCCATGTCAACAGTTTATGGTCCAGAAAGAGTTAACAGCCAGCTCACTGACACACGACTAGAGTTTCAGACACTCATGGTCACTGGAACTGTCCAGCCATCCTTCTCACTAAATTACTCTCTTTCTCGTAAAAAATCATGCAGCATAAAACTGAGCCTGTTCAATAAGATCGGAGATTCCCAATATTATGCCATGAACACAGTAACACACATTTTAAGCTGTTGAAATCTTTGACCACCGTATGGTGTCATAAACAGTATAGTAGCCACCTAATCAGCGACCTATGGTGTCACAGACAGAAGATCAGTTTATCCTAGTGGAATGGCATTGGAGCATGCATTATTTTTCAATTTAGCCTAAATAACAAACTGCTATAGACCTATATATTCAACCTGACAGGCATAAGTTAATATTTTAAAACATATTGAGGAGTCCACTTAAACCGAACATGGTTAATCTGAAAACAGCGGACTGAAAGAAAAAAATAAACTCCATTCATTTCTTTTTCAACAATCTCTCTGAACCGAAGAAAACATTGCGGCCCCTCAGAAATCTATTCAAGTTTAGCAAGACTCCATTATATTGAGACCGTTTAGGTTCATCCAGATTTTTTAAACAAGTTTTGTTTTCCCTCAGTAACTTCAAAATTAATGACGCAACAGTAGCGAAGTAATATTTCTGTTTCCTACAAATAGGCCTACATGACATGAACAAAGAACAAAACTACCTGTTGTAAAAACATCAGAAACTACTGTAGTTCTCAAAATTTCTAGAAAGGCTGGTTGTGGTGGCCCCACTATATAAAAACATGTTCAAATCCATCATTCACAAATTCTCACAGTGAGCACTGTCCATACCAACTGTGGTCACACATCACGAGATCAAATCATTTAATTTGTACGGAAAGTCATTTGCTGAGAGACCAAACTCGCTAACAGTAGGGAGAACAATGTTGACAGTAAGTCTAAGTTACTACGTTTCTCAAAGTAGTGAGACTGATTGAAACAAATCATATCAACAGTTTAAGTGTAAGACTGCCAATGCCATACATATGCCATTTTCAAGAGTGAAATATGACAGAGTCTCATTTATTACTGAACAGTCGTTTAACAATGCCCATTATAAGACTGGTAGAAGTCAATTCAAGTCACAGAAAATTTGCGGAGATTAGATCGATGAGATCCCAAGTCTGCAGTCTGTCTTTGTCACAACTGTATTTCTGCGATGCAGATTATCTTTAGCATTCTCTCAGAGTAAAATTAATGTATTCTTTTACTAAAGTGCACTCATTTGTATTTTCTGAAATTACTGTCACTATGGTCTCAACTTTTACTCCATAGTAGACGTAACAAAACCACCATATCTTTGTAGAAAAGACAAAGGGCTCATCTGCTATCAGTGATGTCACATTTCAACTTCCTATAAATAAATACAAATGCATACCCCTTCACACAAGCCATTTGCTAACCTGGGCCAATAAGTAGACAAAAACAAAACATTTTTCAGCAATACAATTGGTTTCAATGGATAACAAAAAAAATTGAAAGATCACAGTATACAAGAGTATACTCAACATATTCCTTTAACTTAAATTTCACAATCTCAACTTAAGACAACTTATATCCTAAAAACTCGGAACACTATCTTGAGAATCAGAATGTTTGCACAAAATTTTGATTATATGTTCCACAGCATTCAAATTTTCTCTGTCCCTGTCCCAAGTTCCCACTTACTAAAGCCTGTAAAATTGTCAGTTGACCTTTTCACACAAAAATTGCATAACAAGTACCAAATCATAACCTAAGAACCTTGACACATAAAAAATCTTCAACCCAGAGAAACTGGCCAAAGTCCAAAAGATTTTCCTAGTAAAAGGGTACCAGTCATTTCGCCACACCGTTGCAGTCAAGACGTCACAGTCATCTCTTTACACCCCAAATCTACAGTTGAAATAGTTCAATGGAAACGATCATTTCGTCACACACTTGCAAACATCAAACGCGCATTGTCATGGCAATGGCAAATCACAATTTTTGGGGAGGGTGTAGGGGTGTGTGTGTGCGAGTAGTCATGCATACCTGATCAGCTAGATCTAGATCTATACCGTTCCTAACTGGGTGAGTTTTGTCGAGTTGTTTTTCTTTGCAGGAGGGAGAGATAGACTCTATATGTGAAGTCATTTTGTCACACCGCAAGCGAAAAGACCAAGTGACGAAATGACAGGTTTCCTAGTATAAGTAGACCTATTCTTAGCAATACAAAATTCCTGTCTGCCCAAATCAGAATACAACATCATGTTCAAATACCCCTGACAACCTCAAATTCAATGAACACTCTGCAAGAATCCAAATGGTAGGGGCAACAGGTTCTTGGGGGGTTATGGCCATGAACAACCAAAAGGAAGTGGCTATTCTCATCCGGGGTGAGAATAGAAAAACGATCAACCTCTCACCCCAGCGTAGGCTATTCTCACCCGGTGCGAAACAAGACCTGCTTTTCCTCATTTTGGAATACTGTCTATCGGTGTGGATGATCAAATTGATAATAAGCCAGGAAAAAATTACGTTATAGCACAAAAGTAAGCTAATTTGATCGTCTTCAAAGATGCTATGGCTATTTCACTGTTCGAATCGAGCCGAACTACGCGGGTTGCCATTTTGTTTTGCCCGGAAGTTCTCGCAAGATCTACTCCTCCCCTCTCTCTCTCTCTTTCTGAATACTGTCTATCGGTGTGGACGATCAAATTGACCAAAACAAAGTTAAAAAATGATGTTAAAACACAAAAGTAAATTAATTTGATTGTCTACAAAGATGCTATGGCTATTTAACTTTTCGAATCGAGCCGAACTACGCGGGTTGCCATTTTGTTTTGACCGGAAGTTCTCGCGCTACTCCTCTCTCTCTCTCTTTCTCTCTCCACTGCCCACAGACAAAATTGTACGCTTTTAGTAGGCTACAGTTGTAATGGAACATTTGTTCACGGCACAGAATTCTAAAATTTTTCTGTTATCACAGTGTAGAATTCTGTGGTTTAGGGTGAACGCAAAATTTGTTGGCCTAGATCTAGGCTATAACGGTGAACGCGCACCGGGTGAGAATAGCCAAAAGACTCGCCTGCACTATTCTCACCCCGGGTGAGAATAGAGGTGGCCCAAACAAAAACTGTCACTAACAGAAGTGTGGCACTCTTTGTAAGTCCACAGAATCAGGGTTTGTAAATCAAACGTGAGATACTTCTAGAATCTGGACGACATAAAACTTTGAAGCTGGAAAAAAAAATTCCCTTAACCTTAAATCATCAACCTAGAGATGGTGCAAACTGGCTCATTTCAGAAACAAGTCAAAACTTCACACTACAACTAAACGTCATCCTGCCTTTCTTTTAGTAGATCTAGATCTAGATGCTAGATCTAGATCTAGATATCTAGCAATAAAATTGTTGGAGAAAAATGGTTTTTGGTGCAAGATTCAAGGAAGGGAAATAGGCTAGTAACTCGCTTCAGAAAAACTTTTCACACCAGAAAGAGTTAAAATTTGACCAAAATTTCGAGAGACCAAGAGGCACATCTGAGTGTAGATTCTAACTCCCACATGTATCAATATAAAATGGAACAGACTTTCATTTGGTTACACCTACGCCCAAAATTTTACTGGTCTCAAACTCAAAAAGAGCCTAAACATATTTGATTTTGAAACCACAAAACAATTGCCACCTTTCAATTAATTCATAAAACGAACCTTTACAATTTTTGTCACCAATCATTCCAATGTCAAGCTTCAAAACAACTCATGAAGTCTCCTGCTCCTTGCTTGCCTCTGTTGCTGCGGAAGATCTTGTCTCGGCCATGGGGGTGTCTGTCTCTCCGACTGATATTGTTGGTTGATTCACTGTGGACAAATCGACAAAGTCTTCATTGCTACTTGATAAAGAGTTCGTATCAGATCCAGAAACAGAATCACAAGCAAAGTCCTTATCCACCTCCCGCGAGTCAACCTTCACACCTTCAAGCTTTCTTTGCTTCACAACTGCCATTTCCTTCTGTAGTGATTCCACTTTCTCCTCAAGACTCATGTAGTGTTTCACAAGTTCCTCTTTTGGTAAACTTTGCAGACTTTCGGCATGCACACTGGTGTAAATATCCACAAACTCTTTGTCTTTCTTCTCTAGATTCATGATTCCTTGGCTGTAGTGCATTGGTGTGGAATGAACAGACGCTGGAGCCGGTGACGAGTTGGAGCAAAGTTCTAATTTTGAACTGCTGGGTGTTTTGTGCAAACCGACTGGCGAGTTAACGTTGTGCTCATCCATAAGATACTGTGTGGAATTGAAAGGTGCTACAGGAAATCTGATGAACTCTTGACCACCTTCTTCACGACGAACCACAGCTGCAGCGTTCTCTTTTTCTTTTCGTTCCAGAGTTCTGCGTTTCAGCTTCATTTCATCTTGTGGTGGATAAGGTTGGAAAGCCTTCTTGTGACGACTGCCTCCTTTGTGGCGTCTGCTACCATGGCTACCATGCCGCCGCCTCCTTCGAGCGCGTGAATTTTCGGACTTAGTTGGAGTACTAGACTCACCACAACCACCGTCGCCGTCTTCTCCCTCATACGATCTGTCACTCCCACTGGAATATTCATCTCCGTCAGGGGAATCGGGATGCTCTTGCCCTCCAGTCTGTAACTTGTTCTCATGGTTCCTCTCCTCAATAGAAGACACACCTTCGTTAAATGTAGCAACTTCAGCCATTGAATAAGTCTGATCCACTACCAAAACACTCGGTTCCGCCGTCAAAATGTTTGCTATGATTCACAACGAGCAAATTGTAGTAACAACAGTGACACAAACACACAGAAGAATAACAGCAGATGGGCTCTGTTTGCATCATATACAACGATACGCTCTCCAGCCCGTGAACGCAGGACTGATGTCAGCAAAGCTGTTTCCAGGCATATTATAAGCAATGGATTTCCGGAAGTGCCTCCGCGACATCACCCACATCGGGGCTAACGGTTTGACTTTATGTTTTAGAAGATAAATCTCCTTAAATCCTGCGTGTACATGTCAAATATCATGCATGTAAACGAACAAAACATATATTTCAGATATAAAAGGAACAATGAAGCACTTTTCAGATAAAATATAGACGCGTATAAATATTTTTCTCGACATCATAACAAAAGGGACGCTACTCTAAAAATAAATCCATGAACTTTTATCGGAAAACAGGTCTAATTGGAACTAACAGCAGTCGCTATAGATTGAATACATTGCATAGTATAGACTTAAAATTGGCCAAATTCCTTTCCGAAAATCTGTTATTGAAACAGAAGGTAAAATTAGATATATCTTGGTGCATGACCTGACAATATGCTCTCACCCACACCCTACCACAGCCCGAAATTTTCTTACATTCGGTTTGGCAAGAGTTATCTTTCTTTCCTACTAATCGACTTGTTCGGCAAAGTAAAAACAAAAACAAAAACAACCCC